TCATGTTGCTGCTGATCTGTTTCATGTTGCTGCTGATCTGTTTCAATGTTGATGTGTTCATGCGTGCACATCTGCTCACAGACTCATGTTCATGTTTGTGCTGATGTTCAATGTTTTATGTTATGAGTGCTTAGTGTATATTTAGTTGATGTTTTTCTTAGTTCATATCTTAGATGTTATTACTGTTTTTCTTAGACATTTTATTGTTGGATGTAACTGGGACCCCGTGTACATAATTTCGCTCCACCACATGTACCACATGAGGTGCGAATGACAATAAAGAAACTCTGACTCTGACTCTGACTCTGAAATATTTCAGTTGGTGTGCAATGAATCTGAAATATAGGAAAGTTTCATTTTTATCATTACATTATGGAAAATAATGACCTTTATCACAATATGCTAATTTTTTGAGAAGGACCTGTATATTGTGACGTCCTGCTGGATACTGAAATCGAGGAAAATGTGAATAACCATCAATTTATTGTGTAAATTGTTACTGTCTGCTGTAACCATGCCAGTACAACAACAAACTCGTTAGTGAAAGCATTCTCTGGTAAAAATATCCCAATTTTTATATGAAAGGCTGGTTGCACATTACAATAACTATTTTAGTTTTAGATTTAAGATATGATTTATATAATTATGTTGTTGTGTTAATTTTAGGCCAAGAGTTGATTTTTCTCAGTTCATTTCTTCACACCAGGGGCAATTCTAGAAGCCCTTTTTAGGGGCCTTAGCCCCCCAGTGTTGACAATGGCTCTTGGCTTGAACCACACAGTGTATTAGCATTAGAATTATTGTAGGGGGGACATATTGGTGCGAGGTCTGTGGGTCCTCCCCCATAACTTTTTGAATAAAGCAGCTGCTATTTCCTGCATCCTGGTGTATTTTAACAGGTTTTAAAACATCTATGTTTACCTACATAAGTAAATACTTGATTCAATAACTGTTTTATAAAGCATGGCACAAGAAGTAGCACTAAGCTTTTTGTTTGTCTTTAATTTAATTTAATTTTTCTACCTAACACAGGAAGCTGTTAGCTCTGGAAGCAAGCTGTTAAACAGCTTTGGACACAAAGACCCTTGTCACACACTTCAACAGAGCAGGTAAGATACATAACATCTTGTAATCTCTGCCTGGTGAGGCTCATTAAATAATTATAAAATATGATAAGTGAAATAAATAAACATTGAGCTTCTGTAATTTATAATTGCATATGTCACATTTTCTTGACTTAGTTTCAATTGTAAATCTCTTGTTTTTGGTAAAATATTTTTTTCCAAAAGAAAGGCCAACAAATTGTAATTTGTAGTCACTGTGACACTATTTTGACTCGTGCACGTCTTCTTTCACTTTTAGGTTCCACAAGGCTCTGGACTGGTCCAGCTGTGGAGAGATGAGGTGGAACACCAGACCTACAATGGTCCAGTCTGTAAATGATGCTCTGAAGTCTGGGAAGATGCACGACATCATGCTTCACCCAAACGAGCTCGTTACCTCGACCACACACACTGAACTTCTGGAGGACGTCGTCCAATGTATAATAATGCCTTTAAACATTTTTATTTGTTGAGTTCTCTGCTTGGTACATTATTTTTTTGTTTTTGTTTAAAACATGACAGTGATGTCACTGTTTAAAGGAAACAATTGCTCAATAAATTAGTAAAATGCAACTTGTTGTGTTTGGGTTCTTTCATCTAAGGTAGACATGGTGTGACCCATGGACTGGTTTAGATTTTTTGTTTTTACTGTAACTGACCTTCAAAAGAGCCAGAAACAGACTCAGCAGCTGATCCTCCGTAGAAAAACTATATATAGACTACAGGCCATGGATTATTGTTTTATGATATTTAGTGAAGGTTTTTGTTTGGATTAAGGAAATAAATGTCTCTATTTCACCACAGATGAACTGTTCCTGTTGCCATATCTTTTGAAATAAAACTGCACAACACAAAGTAATTTAAACAGGAATGGGTAGAAGATCAAATCCAATTCAAAAAATACAGGAGCAGGACAGGAGTGGGAGTCATGTTACCAGGAGTGGGACAGGACAGGATTTTCTTTTTTACTCTGGACCAGGATTGGGACAGGACAGGAGTGAAAATCCACTCCTGTGTCATCCTCTAACCCAGACTCAAATGCTTTGGGCTGAATGGATCAGATCTTGGGGATTTTTACTTAGACACGTTCCATCAGTGTGGCCATGTTATTTTGTACATTTTGGAACCGAGTAGACCAACACAGACTCAAGGTAGATGTCATTAACTTCTACCTGTACCCAAAACAACTGTGTGCTTATCTAAATTTTGGTCGCCTTGTCTGGCCTTGAAGACCATCTTATCTGAATTCGCCTGGAGAAAATGTGATCTGACGCTCACCACCCCCTTCCTGAGGAATTTCCAACTGATAACCAGATGGAACCAGCTGAATAAACTTTGTGTCATCATTTCAGGACTCTGGATTCTTATAGAGGTTATCCTTGGCCATTCCTCGACATACCTCGAGAATGTTTATGGATCTCACTGGAGGACATTGATTGATTACAGTAACCTCGAGAGCATCTATAAGCGTTGTTGACCGCTCTCGTCTCTGATTGCAGAATGTCTACGTAAATATGTGCTTGTTTGTGCGAGGTGTTTTTTCAATATTGGAGGGTTTTTTTCTCATGCAAGAAAAAAAAAGTCTGATAGGAATTTTTTTCGCCTCCAACTCCTACATGTGTCCAGTTAACCACTGTTTTTTGTCTGTCCAAACAGGTCTCACTTGTAAATGAGTCTTCGAGGCTCAATGTGATTTATCTGTTTAAATAAAGGTTGAATGAATCTCCTTAGGAGTGAAAAGGATGGATAAGATTAGGAATGAGATCATCAGAGGTACAGCACAGGTTGAACAACCAGGAGATAAAGTTAAAGAGGACACACACTGAGATGGTTTGGACATGTCCAGAGGAGGGACAGTGGTTTGGACATGTCCAGAGGAGGGATAGTGGGTGTATCGGTAGAAGGATGTTAGAAATGCAGCTGCCAGGAAAAAGACAAAGAGGAGAAATATTCATGCAGTTAGAGAGGACATGAAGGTAGTTGGAGTGAGGACAGAGGATGCAGAGGACATAGATGGAGGAGGATGACTCGCTGTTGAGCTCCATGACGAGAGAAGAGCTGAAAGAAGAAGAAGAAGTCTGAGGAGCTGCAAGCAAATATTTAAAAGACGAAACATTTCAACAAAGAAGAATGTATCCAGAGGACATGACTCAACTGGATTATTGATCATGCATCAGGCCATTTATAAATAAAATTATCAGTTTTTTTTACTGGCCACTAGAGGGCAATGAAAACCACTTTAAAACTAGTCAGAGATGTTTTCAGCCCATTTTGGTTCCAGATATTTGCCTTTTAATTAAAACTGCGGAGTGTTGACACAGCAGGAATTTATCAGCTCCAGTTTTGTTAGCTTCATCCATCACCTCATTCAGTCAAGTTCAGGTATGTTTATGGAAAAGGGTGTAAAACAGAGGAGGACAGGAGGGTTTTCCAACTCCCCCTCTGCAGTCCACAACAAAAAGATGGGAATCAGGACAAGCACTCGGTTCATATTTTCTTTCTTCAGTGGACAAAAAAGTACAAGACAAAAGATGATGCATCACCGTGGCAACAGGCAGACAACCTCAACTTTGTAAACAGTGTGAGAAAAGAGTCACTGTGTGAAGAAAGAGAGAAAGAAGTGTGTCCTTATTAACCTGACTCCATGCCTGAGAGTGACATTTTACTTACTGCTCTCCTGCATTCTGGCCACAAAACCAGTCAAAGGGATCTGGGGGGTCAGCTGGACCACTGGAGGAGGAGGAGCCACAGATGCTGAAGGAGCTACATCCAGACAAGCCGAGAGAGTGGCGACGAAACAGAGAGTGACAAAGAACACAAAATGATGGAGACGAGAAAAGGACATCACAGAAGAGGGAAAATCAGCATGGCTAATAAAAAGATACAAAGCACAACATGAAAGAAACTAATTTACATGTGTCACAACAATCTTCATCGTCTCGGTTTGAGGATCTGCTTTAGATCAAAAGGAAAAACTGCATCAAGTAAAAGGTTTCAGAGTAAAAGGAAGCAGAAGCAACACAAGCTTTGCTGCAGACAACAGTGTACACAAAGCTCTTTATATATTCACTTTGTCATTTTTCTTGTTGTGCCTGTATAAAATCCAAGATTTCTAGCTCCTCTGTTCTAGAGCAGGAGAAAAGTAGTCGGGTGAACCCTGAAAGACAATGTCACACAGACACGGCAGGTCTGACTCATAAACCACTTGTAATGGATGGATGTGTGTCCTCTTGCAGGACACGCCTGCTGCCATCACTGAGCCGCGTCAGTGACGCGTGAAACCTTTGTGCTCCATCTAACACACACAGTGTTTCCAACATCTCAAAAAGCTGCATTTACTTTAATAAAGCTGCATAAAAAGCTGTGAAACACAGACGGTCTCTGTCCTCTCAGACGAGACAGACAGCCCCCCTCTCTGTGTTTTCTGCCAAGAAAGATGGCCGTCCTTTAAGACAGAAGCCATTAAATGAGAGCTTCTCAGTCGTGGCTGCCAAAATAAATTCCACTCTTTTGATAGGAAGAATGCAAACACCCTGTTTCCCCTTGACTAGGGTCTGTGTTTCAAAGCCTGAACCTCATTCAACGATGCTGTTGTAACTCCAGCAGAAAGAATTATGACACATTTTATAAACTCTAAACCCTCAAAGGAAGAGAGGAATCTAATTTAATATGTACAATAATTTCCTGCGGGATCAATAAAGTTCTTTCTTATCTTATCTTAAATGTGAATGAGAACACGCAGTGTTCCCTCAGTGAGGACTGAACTAGACAAAAGGACCTTCTCCTACTCTGCTCCTGTTTCCTGGAATATCTTGTAAAAAGATCTGAAGCTCTCGACCTTTGACCTCTCTAAGTGGCTTTAAGAATCTGTTGGACTCCTGGCAGGGACCAATGCAGACATGTTCCTGTTTTTAGTTTTCTACATTCGCCTTAGAATCTACCTGTTTTTTGTTACTTTTCTTTTAGCCATCCTATTTGTTAAATAAATAAATAAAATTGTATGACTTTTTATAACTGTTTATTGTTGTTGCTGTTGTCCATTGTTGTCATCTTTCTTTGTTAAAATCAGGTCTTGTAAATGAGTCCTCGAGGCTCAAAGGGATTTACCTGTCTAAATAAAGGTTGAATGAAAAAAAACATCTTCCCATTAGAATAACACCATCTGCTGCTCGCTTCATGAAGACCAACATTTCCTACCTGGGTTCTGTGGGAACGTTGGGCCTCCGTTGATGTGGGGCTGCTGGGAGGAGGCGGAAGGAGCGCGGCGGTAAGTGCCAGTGGCCGACACCATGGAGGCTGAGGAGGTGGTGGAAGAGTTGTGGCGGGAAATTTGCCGGGAGATGGTGCCGAACTGGGACATGGGGATGGGACCCAAACCGGGACCATGTGGCACGGATGCTGAGGATGCAGCTGAAGGGAAGAGGTGAGACTGTCAACGCCTTTCAAAATAAAAATAAAAAAAATATTCTGAGCTTTAACAGCTCGTACAAGATCATTCACAACACAGACTTCAAGCGCTGCACATATAGCTTGATCCTAAACTATGTTCACACTGCAGGTCTTCACGTGAATGATCGTGCACAAAAATGTGAACTGAACATTATCATTAATGTGACCTCCATCAGAGTCCACAGCAAACCATCTATAGTTCTGAGGAAGAAGACATGATGTCACAAGCAGCACGCTGTGTTCATGGAAGTAAACATGGACACTACACATGTTGGTACGTGTGATTCTGAAGGTGTTGTATGTTAAATTATTATCTGACATGTTTGTTTGGTCCAGTGTTTGCATGTAATCTGGCCTCTTGACAGTTCCTCCGGTGCAGCACTGGATTTTTGGAACGGGAACGACGTAATGAAGGTGGAAACAAACTCAAGTACCGATCCATCATGTTAGCATCATGTGTTGCTGTACATTCTAAATTCAAACTTAGAACATATTTTGCTTTTAATAACACTTTTAAAAGTTTTACAGTTTGGACGATTTAATGGACACGTTGGTGAAGGAAACAGAGGATGAGGAAGTGATGGGTAGGTTTGGTGTCAAGGAAAGAAACCAGGAAGGACAGATGGTGGTGGATTTCACCAAGAGAATGGAAATGGCTGTAGTCAACACCTATTTCCAAAAGAGGGAGGAGCATAGAGTGACCTATAAGAGTGGAGGAAGGAGTACGCTGGTCGACTACATTCTGTGTAGAAGAGGAAACCTGAGGGAGACTGGAGACTGTAAGGTTGTGGCAGGGGAGAGCGTGGCCAGACAGCATCGGATGGTTGTGTGTAGAATGACTGTTGTTGTGAAGAAGAGAAAAAGAGTCAAATCAGAGTATGAATCTCTAATCAGGATAATCACTGTGAAAAATCACATAATGTTGCTGCTGATCTGTTTCATGTTGATGTTGATCTGTTTCATGTTGCTGCTGATCTGTTTCATGTTGCTGTTGATCTGTTTCATATTGCTGCTGATCAGTTTCATGTTGCTGTTGATCTGTTTCATGTTGCTGCTGATCTGTTTCATGTTGCTGCTGAACTGTTTCATGTTGCTGCTGATCTGTTTCATGTTGCTGCTGATCTGTTTCAATGTCGATGTGTTCATGTGTGCTCATCTGCTCATACAGACTCATGTTCATGCTGCTTGCTGTTCGACGTAATGTTTTTGTGCTATTAGTGTATATTTAGCTGATGTTTTTCTTGGTTCATATCTTAGATCTTATCACTGTTTTTCTTTTACATTTTATTGTTGGATGTAACTGGGACCCTGTGCACATAATTTCGTTCGAACGACAATAAAGAATATCTGACTCTGACTGACTGACAAATGGTGGAATCTGAGAAAAGAAGAAAGTTGTGATAAATTCAGAGAGGAGCTTTTAAAGGCTCTGGGTGGTAAGAAAGAGCGCCCACATGACTGGGCTACTACAGCAACGGTAATTAGTGAATTTGAATTTCCTGCAAAAATGCAAGTGTGAATGCTTCTTGCTTAAGAATGTGAAGAAAATCGTTGAAAAGTAGCTTAAAACAGCAGTAAAAAGCTTCAAATATCAGAAGGAAGCAGAACGTGCACAATTGTTCCTAATGTAATGGACTGCCAGGCTGCTGCTGACATAAACCGTTGATTTGACAGTACTGTGTGTTTGGGATTGCTCTCAACTACCGCTATACAAATTTCAGCTGAATAGCTCTAAAAATGCCCGAGTTATCATATTTTTTTCCTTTTTAGCTAAGGCAGCCATCTTGGATTTTTGATTTGGATTCAGCTTGTGATAGGGAATGTTCTCAGCTATAACCTCACCAAATTTCAGCTCTGTATGTGTAACAATGGCTGAGTTAAATCCATTCAAATGTAGTGTTGGTGGCCATCTTGGAATGGTGATTTTGAAGTGGCATTTGATGGGAAATATTGTCAGCTATCATCACACCTAATTTTAGCTCAATATAACTAAAATTGGCTGATTTATAGTATTTTTTTCTTTGTTTGCTAAGGCAGACATCTTGGATTTTTAATTTATAGTCAGAGCCTATTAGGGACTGTTCTCAGCTACCAACATGCCAAATCTCAGCTGACTAGCTCTAAAAATGGCAGTTATCTTAGTTTTTCTAAAAAAACAGCTGAATAGCAGCTAAAGAAATTTAGAAAGAAGCTTTGATTTCCAAAAGGAAGTGGAGGGAGCTTAATTGTGCCCACTAAGGTTCAAGTAGGCATAAATTAGAACAATAAAGTTCTAATTATCTGAGAAAAGCTCAAATTTGCTCAAAACAGTTCAATAGTGGCTAAAACAGGAAGAAATAAACTTAAATTAATAGAAGAAAGTCTGTGGAGAAGGTTTTTTTTTTAATTAGGCTGAAAAAAGTTTAAATTATTTTTTAAAAATGTGGAATTAGATGACAAATATGGACAAACTATTCACACTAGGACTAAGCCCCTCCATTTGCAACTGGGTACTAGACTTCTTAACAAACAGACCACAGTCAGTGAGGATCCACAACCTCTCCTCCTCCACCATAACCATCAGCACTGGCTCTCCTCAGGGATGTGTGTTGAACCACCTCCTGTTTACTCTGCTCACGTATGATTGTGCAGCTACCCATCCAGGCTGTCACATTGTAAAGTTTGCAGATGATACAGCGGTGGTGGGATGCATCACAAACAATGATGAGTCCAGCTACAGGCAAGAGGTGGAACACCTGGAGAGCTGGTGCAGAGAGAATAACCTTCACATCAATGTGAAGAAGACAAAGGAGATGATTGTGGAGTTCAGAAGGAACAAAAACACCTACACCCCCCTGAACATAAGAGGATCTGCGGTGGAAGTGGTCTCCAGCTACAAGTACTTGGGTGTGCACCTGAACAACAACCTCAGCTGGAGCAACAACACCACCAGCCTGATGAAGAAAGCTCATCAGAGACTCTACTTCCTCAGACGGCTGAGACGAGCTGGTCTGGAAGCTCAGTCCTCACCTCCTTCTACAGGTGTGCAGTGGAGAGCATCCTGTGCTCCAGCATCAACGTGTGGCATGGAGGCTGCACAGCTGCAGAAAGAAAAGCTTTGCAGAGAGTGGTGAAGGCTGCACAGAAATCTGTTGGAATCAGTCTCCCCACCATCACAGACATCTACACCTCCAGATGCAGGAAGAGGGCCACCTGCATCATGAAGGACCACACTCACCCAGCACACACACTTTTTGCCCCACTCCCCTCAGGAAGGAGGTTAAAGAGCATTAAGTGTAGAACCACTAGACTAAGGAACAGCTTCTACCCTGAGGCTGTTAGACTCATGAATCTCTAACTAGAATAATCACTGTGAAAAACCATATCATGTTGCTGCTGATCTGTTTCAATGTTGCTGCTGATCTGTTTCCTGTTGCTGCTGATCTGTTTCATGTTGCTGCTGATCTGTTTCAATGTTGCTGCTGATCTGTTTCAATGTTGCTGCTGATCTGTTTCAATGTTGCTGCTGATCTGTTTCCTGTTGCTGCTGATCTGTTTCATGTTGCTGCTGATCTGTTTCAATGTTAATGTGTTCATACGTGCTCATCTGACTCATGTTTGTGCTGCTGTTCGACATAATGTTTTTATGCTATTAGTGCCTAGTGTATATTTAGTTGATGTTTTTCTTAGTTCATATCTTTGATCTTATCACTGTTTTTCTTATACATTTTATTGTTGGATGTAACTGGGACCCTGTGAACATAATTTTGTTACATGTGGTGCGAACAACAATAAATAATCTCTGACTCTGACTCTCTCTAAAGATGAAATTAGCATAAAAACAGCTAAATGCTAGCTGAAAAAGAAGAAAAAGCTAAAACTTGCAGAAATAAGCTGAAAGGAGCAGAACAAGCTGCATTTAGCATAAATAAGTTTGAAGAAGCACAAAAATGTTCAAGTTAGATGAATCAGGCTGAAAGGAGCACAAAACAGATGGAAAAAAATATGAAATTAGCTGAACTAGCTGAGTTTTGTTTAAAATTTTTGCACAATTAAGCTGAAAGAAGCTTAACCAGGTCTTAATGTGAATGTATTAGTACAAGGTTGTAAACAGATCAAAAGTTATTAAGGTAGTAAAATAAATGGACTATACTTATATAGCACCTTTCAATCTTATCAAGATAATCAAAGTGCTTTACACTACAATCTGTGCCTCAATTATTTATTCAAAATGGCTCCAAACGTTAATCAGTTTTAGAGATACATCTGATGATTACTTTAAGTGAGTTTCAAACAAATAAAACATTGAGTTTCTGTTTTGTCCTGATGCATGCTCAATAATCCATACCATACCATACCAATTTATTTATAAAGCACTTTAAACAGTGACAAAGCACACCAAAGTGCTGTACAGGGACAAACAGAACAAGCACATAGCAACAGATTACATAACAGGATATCAAAAAGTAGAAACCAACAAAAACAATAATGGATAACAACAACAACCGCAACATGACCAACACAGTGTGATGCACACAGACTCAGCACAGATCACACAGTGCAGAAAGCCAGGGAATAAAAGTGTGTTTTTAAGCAAGATTCAAAAACTGTGAGGGAGGGGGCCTGTCTAACGAGCAGAGGTAACTCATTCCAAAGTCTTGGTCCTGCTACAGAGAAGGCCCTGTCACCTCTGCGCTTGAGACGGGTTCCTGGGACTGTTAGGAGCAACTGGTCTGCTGATCTGAGAGAACGTGGTGGGACATACGGCTGGAGCAGATCAGTAAGATAGGAGGGGGCAGAGCTGTTTAGTGATTTATAGACATACAAGAGTATTTTGAATTTGATTCGAAGGTGAACCGGAAGCCAGTGTAGGGAGGCCAAAACAGGTGTAATGTGCTCTCTTTTGCTTGTGCTGGTCAAAAACCGGGCTGCTGCATTTTGGACCAGTTGGATTCTAGCTATGGAGGTCTGACTGATACCAA